TTGTGCTCTTTCTCTCCTCTGTACATACAGTGGCTCTTCTCTAGTCACTGGGCCTGCCTGCAGTTCCATCACAGGACAGTACCCATATGCCATTTCCCCATATAAACTTCAAGAAAACTCATAATTCCAGGAGAATCCCCAGAATGACCTCTACCCTGGAAAGAGTATGCAACAAAGTTTACAAGACCATGTAACGAAGCTTAGCAAAACTTTAGACCTTAAGCTTAAAAGCTCAAAGCTACTGTTCAGAGAAGTACTGGCTGCAGGTCAGGAAACCAGACTTATATCCTGACTCAGTTGCTTGCTACTGCAAGAAAATTGGTCAACTATCTCTAGGCTTATAATTAATCTTTGCCTTAGCAAAGACTGTAAGACATTCAGAGTACAACTACTACTGTATCTTCTTCTCCGTACGGGTGACTTACCTTTCCAGTTTTAAGATGAAGATGGTTTTTACCTTATACATCAAAAGAAGAAATGTTACATGGCTGACAACACTTAAGGACTTCTAGAAAGATTGATGCCATTGTCTTTAGTCTGATATACAGCTGTATGGAGAGATGTATCGTCCAATTTCTTTCCAGCTGTGAGAACTGGTTTAACTGGGATGCACTGAAAAAAGCATGGATTTCTGTCTGATCAGCAGTGCCACCATATGGTTCAGACTGTCAGCACAAGGCGATTGGGAATTGGTACAACTCAAACCTTAAACCCAACAGTTCTTAGAAATGACACATTGACATTTTCTTCACCTTCTTAGAGAAACAAGAAAAGATAACAATCTTGACTACAAACAGACAAATTCCTAGTGAGTCCAGTTCTTCTAACCCGGGTTTGTACAGGCTCAGTCTAATTCAATACCTATACTGCAAACACAGAGATTGTGCAAGGAAAGGGAAAGTAGTATTCTGGTAGACATCCAGATGTTTTGCTAAATCTCCAGAAATAGATTCCTTCCTATTCTAAGTTTAAAATTGTGAGACTTCTTGCTGAAGTCAGAGTAAGCTTTTTAACACAGGATAGAAGCCCTCTCTGAAGCTGTATTTAAAACTATAAAGAAGCAAGGAAAAGGTACATTGCAAATGAGATAGAAGGAGCCAAGATGTTTTAACAGACAAACAGCTGCTTGAGGCCAAATAAAGCATCCCAGAAGGCTCAGGCATTAAGAAATAGATATTAATTCGCTTTATTATGGATTTACCACATCTACATAGTGACAATGGTACAATTTGATTTGTTTCTCAGACCTTGTAAGCTCCACTGGTTGATATTTAAGTTGAAAAACATTAGGGCAGAGGGTCTTGCGAGAAGAACATCAGAGAAAGCCAAAGCCTCTGCCAATGACTCTGACACCTCTCCTAACAAACAGGGATTTAATGTATGCAGTCTCAGGTCTGAATGGGTGCAGTTTTCTACAGGGGACAGTATGAACATTAAGAACCAGACCACCATCTCTCCCAATAGAAGAACTGTGAAGCACCAGGGGAGGCTGGTAGGTGAAAGGTTCAATGAAAGCAAAACGATTTTGTTTGCAAAAGTGATTCTTCACATAGTTAAGCTGTGGAACACCTTGCCATGGATGCTGAAAATGATGGAGGTTTACATCAAGAGGAGTCTTGGTGGGTTTAAAGAAGAGAAACAAGAAGAGGGTTAGTAAATACACAGAAGCCATCTCTGCCTTGAGAAGTCACTGAGCCACAGATGGCTGTAGAATAGTAGTCAAAAGCTCCATCATGGTTTCCTGCCTATTATATTCCAGACATCCACTCTAGACTGCCAAGTACTATCCTAGATAGTACTGGATTTTTGTTCTGAGCTAATAGATAGTTTTATATTCTTCTGATTCGGTCTCCCCTGGGATTGAATACACCCAGAAGTTTCACAGAAGCTGAAGCACAATCCATCTTCTCCAGTTGTCCAAGGTTGCTTAATATGTTAGTGGCAGAGCTACAAATAAAACATTTGTTTCACCACCTACACTAATTCTGATGACTCAGTCATTTCTGTACAAATGAGCAAAGGAGAGGAAAGAAATCATTAATGAGCAATGAAGACAGTACACCTATAGCACAGCTCTAATTTTTCCTATTGGTCCTGTGATCAGAACTTATTTACATTTTAGCATAAAAACAACGCATCGTACATTGCCTGATTTCCACTAACATCTATAAAGCTGTAACATTATAGCAAGGAATGAATTATTGCCAAAGACATCAATTTAGTGGAAGCATGAGGTGTCGTGGAAATACTTCTGCTAAAATACAAGTGAGGAAACAGTTAACAATGTTAAATTTTCAGTTTCAAGGTTTAGCACAACAACCAGCCTCTTGAATGCAAATGAAGGAAAATCCTCCCAGCTCAAGTTTCAGCAAGGTTGCTGGCAGGACTTTGGTGCCATGCATTGCTGTCACATTCCACTCAGCTTCTGAATGACAGCTTTCCAATGTAAAATATTTAAATATAATCCTTGCATCTTCCAGTTTATACTTCAGCTAAGCAAATGTGAATATATAGTAAGTTCCACAGCCAGGAAACCATGTGCATGAAATTCTCAGTAAGATGGATGTTTTGTGGTTGTGTGGCTGCTTTAGAAGAAGCTTTTGTACACTGTGTGCTTTTGTGACCTGCTTTCTCTATGTGTGTTCTTCTTAGGGAATGGCTGTGTAGTCATTCTAGGCTGTGTAGTCATTTTAATGCCTCTTAGGCTGTGTAGTCATTTTAATCTGACATAAATCTGGCCTGTCACTGACATGCTCAGTCCCACCATTCTTTTTCTCAGCTGCTCCTACTTGCTGCCTCCCTCGTTTATGTACCTGATCTGTAAATCGCATCAGGGAACACATCCTGCTGAAAAAATAATCTGTCTCCCAGTGTGCTGAGTCAGGTTTGGCTTTGTGCTACGTTTAATGTGATCAAACTCTGTCCTGTCCCCATTCTGTGCCCCCCACAGAATGCTGCAAAACAAATTAATTTTAAAAAATGGGTTTTCTAGATCCAGATCGGTTTCACTCATCCCGTTCATTGTACAGCAACTGCAATTAATAACAGTGTTAGCATAAGGGACAAGGGATTGGGCCTGAAAAGTAGGTGCCTCCCTTTCAATACCCACCTGGACACATGCAGGTTTAAATACACTGAGCTGTTTGTCTCACAGAAGTATTTTGTCAGATGAAATATTAATAAACAAGTTACAAGAGCATATAAATCATAACCTTGCAAGCTTTTCATCATACTCCTATGGCAGAAGATGCACCTTACCACTTTCTCATTCTTGCTTATCCTTATGTCTTTCTTCAGTGGATGTCTGTTCACTGCCAAACTCAGAAACACCAGCCTATATTTACTTAATAATTTGCAAAAGATGACTGCACAGCCATGTCATAAATAAATCCTAGAGTTAAACCAGTTAAAACAGATTCAGTCAACAAAATGCTTATTTTCATACAATATTCTTTATGATAATGTTTACAAATGTAAGGTGAAAAAATTGAAACAACTATATCTAAACATCTGTATACAAGCAGATTTCAAAACCTTAATAAAAAAATAGCTATTTTAAGGTCCTGTAAAGGAGTAATATTTCACATCCTTGTTGTGATCAATAGGATACTAGAGAGAAAATCTTAACCTACTGACAAAAATTACAGTTGTTTATAAAAATACACTTTTTATATTCTTCATCATCATCTTTTTGTAATATTTTCATTGAATATATCCTGCTAACATTCTAAACAAGCATAATGACTGTATGTTTTTGTATTTAAAAATGTATCGGTAGAATGACAGTGGGTCACCCTCAGTCTTGTTACTAAATCCTGTTTGGTAAAAGGTATGGGAAAATGGTGTACACAGGAAGTAGAATGTTTTTATTGTTCAGATGAACAGCCTTGTGGTGTTTTAATGTATTGGACCAGAATGAGCTTCGTGGCTGAGGAATCATTCATAGGGCTTTTGTAAGATGTAAATACAGAAATGTAAATGTAATGTAAATACAGAAGTGACATAACTGACTGATGTTTCATCTGGAGATTAAGATACTCCAGCTGTACTGGGGGACAGATACAAGTGAATGAGCTTGGCTTACAAAAAGTCAGTTAGCTTGTTAGCTTGGCAATCTGCTTATTATCATCATAATTTGTAACTAATGTCAGTAATTTGGAGTGTGGACTGACATCACAGCTAAACAGCAGAGGCAGCCACTGCCATAGGGCAGCCTTGCTTCTAGCATGCCCAGCCAATCACTACTGCAATTTCCTTCATGCCAGCATTGGGACTCATTTGATGCTGTACTGAGCCAGTTCAGGTAATTAAACCTCAGAAAACTAATCCTACAAAAAGTAGTGATTAAGCTTCAGCCGTTTGGCCCTGTGACCTTCACATGTAAACAAAAACATCTGTACATAGGTATTTTAAAACCTTACAAAACACAACAAAAAACCCCCAGTACTATTTGAAAGGTCTGCAAATAAGAAACTTTGTATCCATTGGGATCAATAAGCTGAGAAAGGGGAAAATCTGACAAATTTTACAGTTGTGTGTAGGAAAATGAAAGTTTGTATATTCTACATATCTCTGTAATTTTAAAAAATGTAAAAATCAGGTAAATATTTGCTAGCAGAAACTCTTATTTCTTCTTTATCAGCCAGGAACTGTTATTCTGCCTCTGGAGCTCCGCTTAGCTAAGTTTGTAGCTTCCTTTTTAAATAACTTCAGCGGAAACTGTGGCCTAACCAAAGAAGGGCCGCTTTCTAAGATCTAAACAAATCTGTAGTCAGAGACCAACTGGCTCCACGACCTCCAAGAACCCGAGTCGGATCTTCCTCGTTTTCAGCTGCCCCTCATTTGGACAAACGCGCCTTCAGTTCTCGGCGCCTCCCCAGCCCCTCTGCCTTCAGCGGCCAAAGAACTCCGTACAAACAGAAGCACCGCTCCCTCCCCAGCCTGCCTGGGAAGCTCAGCGACGTCACCACCACGTGCACCTTGCGCGCTCCCGTCACACCCTCCGGGAAAGGGCCTCCCAAAACCGGGGATCCCAAAGCCTGATTGGCGGAGTCGCCCCCGCCCGCCCGCGGGGAGAAAGAGCCTCCCCAGGCGCCCAGGGCTGCCATGGGTGAGGAGGTGGCGCAGCCCCGGCGGCCTGGGATCGGCGTGGGGGTGGTGGTCACCAGCGCCGCGCACCCCAACTGCGTCCTGCTGGGCAAGAGGAAAGGCGCCGTGGGGGCCGGCACCTACCAGCTCCCCGGAGGCCACCTGGAGTTCGGGTAGGAGCCCTGCGCCCTCCCCTCCCCGCCCTCTTGTCCCGTGCTGTGCCGTGCCTTCCCTTCCCTTCCCGTCCCGTTCCGTCCCGCAGGGAGAGCCTGGCGGAGTGCGCGGCGCGGGAGACGCTGGAGGAGGCGGCGCTGCGACTGCGCCACGTGCGGTTCGCGTCGGCCGTGAACGCGGTGTGCGCGTCCGCGCGGTACCACTACGTCACCGTGCTCATGAAGGGCGAGGCCGAGCCCGGCGCGGAGCCGCGCAACCAGGAGCCCGACAAGAACGAGGGTGAGTAATGAATGTGACGTAACAGAAGGGACTGGGTGGAAAGGGACCCTAAAGATCATCTAGTTCCAACCCCCCTGCCACGGGTAGGGGCGCCTTCCATTACGTCAGGTGGCTAGTGGAAGATCTAGGTCAGCTCCATCCAGCGTGGTCTTGAACTCTTCCAGGGATGGGGCATCCACAGCTTTTCCGGGCAACAGAGAAGTTGCTCGGACAGAATGACTCTGCATGCAACTGAGAACTTGGGTTTATGTTGGTAGTTTCTGCACGATCCATCCTGACTTGCAGAGGAAGAATTTTTATAACACAGAATCACAGAATACCCTGAGTTGGAAGCGACCCACAACGATCATCAAAATCCAACTCCTGGCCCCACACAGGACAACCCCAACAGTCCCACTGTGTACCTGAGAGCGTTTTCCAAACGCTCCTTGAACTCTGTCAGGCTTGGTGCCGTGACCACTTCCTTGGGGAGCCTGTTCCAGTGCCTGACCACTCTCTGGGTGAAGAACCTTTTCCCAAATTCAGTCTAAACCTCTTGTGTCTTAATTCTATACTCTGATTTTTCCCCCCCTTTTTTTTTTCCCCCTGCAGGCTGGGAATGGGTTAAATGGGATGAATTTCCTCCAGCAGATCAACTATTCTGGGCCTTACGCTGCTTAAGAGAGCAAGGTTACAATCCCTTTACGGAAGAGCTTGATCATCTAAAGGGGTACACAGGAAGTCACCAACTAGGGTAAAACCAAATTGTACATATGTAACGCACTAAAAGACAGAGCTGCTTTTTTTGATATGAAAGAAAAAAAGGGTTAATCGTGCTCATGCTGCCCATGTGAAAATATTACCCTTTCCAAAGCCAGAAAGATGCCAAATGTTTCAGTGCTTTTACCATATTTCACATAACAGTGGTCTCTCATTCTAGAGTTATTTCTAGCTGTAGTGTTAACAATTAATATTTGCTTTTATAGCAAACTCAGAGTGTTTTGTCTGGTTAATCTTTATACAGATGAACAGCCATTTGTAAGTTAGAACTCGCCAGAGAAGCTTACTCACTTAGAAACAGTTGCAGCATCAGGCCCAAGAAAATTACTTGTTTAAACCACTGCCCTGCTTTATATGTAAACTTACTTTGTATGTCATGCTGCTTTCCTGTAATTATTGGACCACTTTTAAAACTTAGCCTTGTCTCTTAGCTTTAGTTATGAAGTTACTGTCATGAAAAAAAGTTACATTTCACAGACAATGCCTCATTCTCCTGCAGACAGCAGTGTGTACTTGAAAATCAAGGGTATTATAAATATGAAGAGGTTATGATGGCTTATTACAGGGATGACATTCCCTGATCCTTCTTGTCACTTGCTTTTGTAACAGAGTTCTGTTTGCGGCCTCAGATACATTGAATTTATCTGTTAAAAATGTCACAGATCTCTGCAGTTGATCTGACTTAATGTTACTAAACTCTTATAATGGTGCCTACAGTGTTCTACTAGGCTGACATAAGTAACAAAATCATCTCATTTATAGGTGTAGCTGAATGGCAAAAGTCATACTTTTTTGCCAAAGGGAGTTGTCAGTATTAAACAACTGAATTGGCAGTGAAGATACATACAAAAGATACATACAAAACCAATGCATTTATATTTCTAATTTTTCTAGAATCTGTAGCCAAATTTGGATATTTTCCAGCTGTAGTCACTAGGACATCAGCAGTTAATTTTAGGATATGACTTTTAAAGAAATCACTAATTGGCTCATTTTTTTTCTCCTCAGGGTTCTTTAACACAGTTCTTGTCTGTTTCTTTTAGATATACTCATTGTACAAAAATGTTGTGAGATATCTTTAATTTCTTTTTAATAAAACACAAGCACAATATTGAAAGATTAAAATTGTCTGAAATTATGAGTTGAATCTTCAGTTCTTAAATAAGCTTGAAGGGTTTAAAGCTCTTCCTTACTTTGCACGTACATTTTCTTAAATGGAGATGACTCTTTTTTGCTGAGAAGCAGGCACAGTGATACGAGGTATAAGGACACTACTCCCGATGGCAAGCCTCCTGCTTAGAGTTTGAAGTATTACCTATGTGCAATTTTCCTTGCGACAGACACCCTTTCTCTGAAGTGAAGAAAGAATATAATGTTATACAGCAGCTTTGGAACTGGACATATCACCGAAAATTCCTTTGCTACTGTACCTTTGTAAAAAGCTTATTTTTTTCTATTCAAAAGTGGAGATTTGCTTCCTGAAAGCAACCTTATGTACACTGAAAATTATTCTACCCAGCAGTTAACAAAGAAGCTGTATGAATAGTTGACAGATGTCCTACCCATCTGTCACAAAGAATAATGAGGAAAAAAATATTTAAATTATTTAGTACAATTTTAAATTTTAGAAGGCCTCTAGCTCCTAATGAGAAAACAGTGGCCACTGTAAAATGCCTTGTCATGCAATAAGTACTTTCTTACCCTATTTTGTTAATGGTTATATTTATTCTATCTCTTTTAAATACACAAATAGTTACTGAAATGAGGACACAAACAGTATCTCCATATGTCAGCCTTTCTGTATCCTTTTTAAGTGGACTGATTAAGTGACTACAATGCATTACTGCAACCAGCTGTCAGCAATCCCCAACTTAAATAACCATCTGTATGTATCATGCATTTGTATTTCCCATCTCCACCCCACCCCCCAAAATCTGGTTTAGTAGATTTTCGCTGCTAAGACCCAGTTCTTTCAACTAAGTCTTCACTTTTGCTAAACAGAAAAATATATTATGTACATATCTAAACCACTGACTAACAACACTCAGTTATAACTTTGTGGTTCACTAAACTGCTTCTAACAGACAGAATTCACCTAAAATGGCATTATACTTAGCCAGAGTTGAGAAACATACTCATGAACCGTACACAGTTTGGAGCACTGATGCAAAAAAAGTGATTAGAATGCATCTTATATCCAGAGTCTGTTTTTATGCTAAGTGAACAGTGGGCAGAGCTGTTGCCTTACCTATTTCTTAGATGTAACACATTGGTCCCATTCAATCCTTTCATAGAGTAACACACAACCCAGAAACAGAAGCGGTCTTTGCTTCAGTTCCTTCCTTTCCTGTCTGGAAACAATCACCCTCTCCACAGTATTTCAGCTAGTGAACTACCATACAGCCATAGAAGAGTTTTGGGTAGGTTGCAACATTACACTTTGCATGACTGAAGTATCTATTTTTGTATTTCACTCCAAGAAAAGAATGTCCTTGTAAGTTAAAAGAGACTAGTGAACTGTGTGTGTCATGTGCTGAGAGAGGCATTTAGAAAGAAAATGCTAATTCAATGATACAAAGCATTAGGAAACTCCATTTTGTGTATGATTCTGATCACGTTTTAAGAAAAAAAACCATGAACGGTGTAGGCAAGGTTGACTAGGATGACTGAGACAGGGCACGTGTATCGGGATTAATGTGAATTAAAGAGGAAAGATGTTGGAGGTAAACATCTAAAAGGAAAATATGATACTTAATAAAGGTTAAAATATAGATGCATATGAATAGTCTTAGATTGTGAAAGAGGTGACAGTTTAATAACTCGGAAGATACTTCCAAAAGGAACAGCTGAGACAAAAACAAATTGCCCATTTCTCTTGAAACAAAATACACTGCCCCATATTATGTGATTGCACCTAACTGAAGTCCTTTTCCTTTCTGCATTCCTATGGGATTTGTACACATTTTGGTCATATGTGGCAGCATTACAAAGACTGTCTGAGCAAAGGATTCATCAGATACTTCCTGTAAGGAATCTACAAAATGGAAAAGTGAAGAGAACTGTGATCTGTGCTGCAGGACAGAAACCTGTAACTGCCAGGGGTAACAGTTCCCACTAGTTTTCTGATTTGATCAGAAGGTTACCAAGAGAAAAGCAGCTGTCACAAAATGACTCCTTACTCAAAACAGAACAAGAAATGGAAAGCCAAAGGAAGTGCCTTTGGAAAGACAAAATAACACCGTAGTTGAGGCAGGACATGCAACTGACCAAGTAAACAAATAAGCGGGTTCAAAGAACTAAAAAAAATTACAGATGACAAGAATAAAAGAATCTGTGAGCACTCTGAACGGAAAGGAGCTGAACCCGCAGTGTGCCTCCAGGGTCCCAGGACCCTTAACCAAGTGTTGGTGCAGCCTTGTGAATGGGCCCTCTGCTGCCTCAGGGTCTGCCCAGCTGCATGTGTACCTAATAGGGCTCACCCGAAAAGGACAGGCTTTCTGTTTCTGACTCCTCCTCAGCTGCTTCTAACACTGAGTGGGCATTCTGCAAAGGCAAAAATGGAGTACAAACTTCTGAAACTCAATCAGAATTCAACCACGTGCTGGGATAAAATGTTGATGTTACAAGGTAACTTAGATTCAAGTTTGGAAAATTAAAGTTAGATCAAAGCTGAGTTTATTTATAACAAATCATTCATTATATAATACAATAATTACAAACTTTTTTTACACCTTATTGCCGTATTTTTGTTCTTGGTAAACAGATGATCAAGAATGTGGATTTAGGCAGTAACAAAAAAACAGATACTAAAATTACAAACTTCATGTCTCATTTCTGTGGCATAGAAAAGGTTATCATCAAAAGATTAAAGTTACTAACAAACATACAAGGGGATTCCCCTTACACCTTTTTTCCCAGGAACTTTTGTCATCTAATGTATAGTGAATACATATATATTTACACACGTGTCTCTTGCAAACATACACATTCATACAATCACTGAAAATCTTACATCTCTCCCCAGCAGAAAGCTCCCAGTCATTTTACTTGAATATGTAACGGAAAAACAAAATCTACAGTCCGTGGTTTTTAAATTAGTCACCCTATTTCTGAGCCAGCTGTTATCTTGTCCCTACAAAAGGCTGCTGGCGTAACAAAAGGACATTGCAGTTTGTGACAAACAGCATCCAACCTACCTTCACCACAGGAAAGGTCTACTAGGGATACTGTCCCTCTTGTACCTAGTCTGAGTCACTGCTGCTGCTTGAGGAGTCTGTTGACATAACTTCTACATCATCTTCATTCTCTTTGTTGTGTCCTGGAGGCTCCAACATGAAGTCATTACTATGATTAGGAGGTAGCATGTTCATTGACATATCACTTGACTGCCAAGGATACTGAGGAGCAAGCACATCTGGAAAAAAAATGGGCATAACCAACCAAACTATCAGTTTTGTATATCAAAAAAATTTAACATGACAGCTCAACCAGAACTTCAATTTGAAATCAAAACAAATCTTAAAATCCTTTCTGAATTTTGGACAGATGAAATCCTCCAGTAACAGCTGGAAAACATTTCCTGATGGAATAATTCTCTGACTGTAAAAGTCTACTCTGCCAGAGAGGCCCATTTATGTAGATGGCTCTTGATCTCTCATCACCCCACTTCAAAACAGTATATATTCATACAGAGCTCAAAAGAAGAGAAAAGACATGTGGACTCATCCTCAGCATTTCCCTGGTGGGTTCCTATGGACAGATGTCAGGGTACTACTCCTGTTCAGCTCACCAACCCATTTTATCCAAGGTCAGAGCTTTACAGATCAAGTGGATGCATAATTTCAAGTCACTTCCTAAGAGGTGACAATAGGATTAGACAGATGATCAGAAACACAAAAGCCAAGTTTACTATTTCTCCAATGGAGTTGTAATATTTTTTTTTAACAAATTCAACATAATTTTTGAAAGCAAGCTTTCCATAATGCCTGAAAAAGTGGCTTAAAAGACAGGTAGGAACTGTTTCTGATCTCCTATGAATCCAAACTAAGAAATTTTCCATATTTTAGTCCAATCATTTTAGATTAATACTGAACACGTACAGACCAACTGAACTCTTGATTCGATTACTGTAATTTATGTATGAATGAATGAATCCCACTGAAGTCAATGGAAGTGCCTATTTCACTAAGTAATTAAGGGATTCAAGCTCAATTCCTACAGTCAGTTGTCCCTTGCCATGTCTTTTCAATCCAGAACTTTTAAGCATAAACTTAAAGAAAGCCAGGGGATAAAAATAAACCTCTTTTCTTCCAAATAAAGCTTTCACAATTCCATACTTTGTCATCACTACTAAGAAAATGTTGCTCTGAAAATGCTTCTTTCTAATATGATTTAATATCACTTAGTTTAAAGCCATTTAAAATAAATGAACTCTGATTTGCCTTTGCTAAGGGAAATGTGTAATTGCTGTGACTGTACAAGGAATAAAGAAAAGCAAAACAAAACTGAGTTCCTCTTACCTGGCAGTCTGCCCGCTGCAAGTGCATCCCCTGGTAAGTGTCCATTAACTCCATTGGTGGATGGGTTGTTCATCTGACCCAAGAGACCACTCCTCATTTCCAGATCTGTAGGATATGGCCTACGTGGGTCCCCTTAAAAAAAATGTTTTGAAATATTTAACAATTGTCTTGCAGACATTAGTTTTCTCTTCAGTGCCAAGTTTAATGACCAAAAAACCCCATACTCTGCTTAGTAAGCAACAAGCATCACACCTGTTTTATTAAAATCCAAGCCTGGCTTTCACTTAGACTTTCTTTGTTCATTCAAACTTGGCAGAAAATGCACATTTAAAAAGAAAACAAACAACCCAAAACAACTATAACCAAAAAACCCTACCACGTTTAGAAGATATCTTTGCTCTCCCTGGTACTTTATATCTAAATGGCAAGGACAGGAATTGGATCAAACACATTTTCATTTTGGACAACAAGGGAGTAGTACCCAAAATTGAAACAGTCCTGAATGAAAGTCCTGCTTCTGACTCCATGGATTACCAACATCCTCTGAAAAGAATCCTGTAAGGGGCAAAAGGGAACACAACCAGGCATGCAATAAAAGCCTTTAGCATACTTGGTTTTAACTTACAATCCGGGCCAACATTCAGGGGAAAAAGGCAAAGGAGAGCAGAGGATGCCAGTCAGTTAATGGAAATACATAGTTCCATAGCCTTTTGAATACATGTGAAGTGGATATCCATTTTTGTTGAAAATATTAGATATAACTGCTGAAAACAATATCACTCTAATAAACCCCAGTGGTTTTCACCATATAAAAACATTATAAGAATAGATATTAACCATGATTTATTACAAAAAAGAAATCTATTGTCATAAACACGATAGTTACCTGGTACCCATGTCAGAGGGGCACAAACAGCATTGCTAGCACTGATCCTATGGGCATATTTAATTATTTCTTCAGAGGAAATGGCACCTGGAAGAATGGAAAAAAAGTTGCTGTATTCTCAAGAGATTGCATCATTTAACTATCTCAGAATATTGGACACTAATATCTAAAAGACTGGGAATGTGATTTTGCCAAACATTAAGAGCCTGGTTCAAATGCAATGACTGTTCAGAAGATTCTCAGACTATGCAAAGATGAGCTTTGCAGTGATTTTACAGCCACAAGTTTGGTATATCTTCAGTGTCAACAGTTCTCCAACCTTGTGAAAAACACAAACCAATCTCTTAAACAGTGTACTTGACAAACACAATTTGTAAAACTTCAGCACCTGATTTTTTATGGAGTTTTCTGTAGTAAAGAATTTTTTTGTTTGTTTGTTTAGTAATTGTAGAGCATACCTGTAGGACTCCTTCTAAATATGTGCCTCTAGGAGAGTAATAGAAACTTTACAAAATTCCTTGATTTTTTTTAGATGAAAGAGGTATAACAAAAGGATAAAAGACACTGTAAAAAAAAAACCAAACCAAAAACCAGAGAAAATGCCTCCCTCTCCCAAGAAAAGGTCAGTTCAGCTTGGCAAGTACCACAGTATGGCAGGAATTGCTACAAACTAGTATCAGCAGCTAGGCAGTCTTTCAAATACAATGCACAAACAAACATTCTCTCCCTCTCCTCAACAGACTAATTGAGGCAATTTGGTGAGACACTTAGATAATCACATATACTATTACCAGTCCAAGAAGACTGTTGAGACACTTTATTATTAAGATGTTTCCCCAAAAAATATTTATTTCCTGCTTTTTTATTCTGAGGAAATGGTTATAGTTTCATAATGAAATAGAAATTTGTCTATGTATAAAGCATCCAAAATCTGTGGTAGCAGAATTAAAAAAATAAAAAATAAAAAAGCCCCAGTTTGAGCTCACAAGCTTTACAACTGCATTTATGTAGTATGTACAATCACTGATACTCACCTTTCCGTGCCTTTTCAATTGATTTCAGTTTTTCCTTTGCTTGATAAACAGCTGTTGCCTAGTTGCAAAAAAAAAAAACAACCACAAAGTAAACCAAACCTTCAATGCATCTTTAATTTGTGCACATCTACATAAAGTCAGCTCTGTGAATAAACCCCTTAGTTTAATTGCATTTGAAGAGAGAAATTATTCAGTGAACATTTTCAAAATATACAGAATAAAGTAGATTTAGAAGAAAATTAGCATTATAAAACAAAACTCAATACCATAACTAAACAGCATTTGACTACTGTGAAAAAACCCAAACCACGAAGCTCTTATGAAGTTTTAAATATTTAAATCTTCTCAAACTAACATAACACCACCTTTTCCACAAGTAGATGCTCAAAAGAAAACACATCATTACGAACTTACCAGTATGTGCTCTGCTTCTTTTAGTTGTTTCTGCAGCTGCTGAATATCATTATCCCGCTTTTCTACAACCTTTTCTAAAAGCTGCATTTCATGATGGATTTTTCCCTGATCAACTGCCAACTTCATTAGCTCTTGAAACTCTCCATCTCTCTGAATCAGCAGTTCCAGGATCTATTGAACAAGAGTTTTGTAGAACTTTTAATTTGGCTAGAGTAACAACACACCCTCAGCCCTGCTACAAAGAGGAGCAAATGACATCCATAGGAGTATTTTTGTTTGAATGAAAACTGAAAGAAAATTTCTTTCTGTTTGCAGAAACAGCCTATGAAGCATACAACAAAGGAACAACAACAGGAGAACCAAGAATGCCTTTGTAGCAGGGCCAAAACCTCATCATCAACATTAGCTTGAGTATAGGCAAGGACAAAGGGAGAAAGAAAGAACGAGCAAAAGAACGAACGAAAGAACGGAAAAAAATTAGAAGTAAGGCATTAGGCTTACCCAAAGAAACACAGGTTAGAAAGTCAGCTTACCTGGCTCTCCTCTCCCGGTTGTGGAAGCTTTTGGTTTCTCGAAATTGCCAAAATTTCTATTAGTTCCCTGAAAGGAGAACTGTATTAGTGCAATTTTCTAGGGCATTATCATATCAAGTCCTCATAAAATTATCAGAGTACTGGTATAATTACAAAAGTATTCGTGCACTTGAGTATTTCAGAGTTTTATAGTACAGTGTAGGCAGGCATGTCTCAACCAAGACAGCACATTTTCTTCTTTTTTCTTGGAGTTCATGAAGTACTTGGATATTTGTACTCAAGAAATGTGCTAAGTTCCTGTCAAACTATAAAAGACATAAGCAGAAGCTGAGAAAAGAAACAGTATAATGAAAGTTGTCTTCACCATTTTACTTCTCTACTTTTTCTCCATTTTTTTGCCAACTGAGCAAGTTTCACACGTGTTTAGAGCAATTAAGTCCACACTGCAGAGTCTGTTGTGAAAATACTTTTACAACAAGTATTTCCACAGTGATATATTAGTTGTGTATCAAACACACAAAAATACCAAAAAACTAGTAATATTCTGGTGCTAGGTTAGAAGTGCTTCTCCAACAAACCTCTTGATCACACTTCCATGTAGCCAACTACTTTGCCACTGTTCTGAAAAGCCAGTAAGAACCTCTGAGGGACCACAATACAAAAAGGCATTTTCTGTAAATTCAGCAAAGTTAATTGGCTTTTAAGGCTACGGATGGCAATTCAACCCTATGCATGAGTAACTCTGTATCTGAAGACACTGTCCTTGGAAGGACTGATTCTTTGCTTGCTCCACTGTCAGCAGCTCAGTAGGATGTATGACTGATACAGCAGTGGGACCAGAACCTTAAAATGAAAACAGGTACTTTTCAAAATGTCTGAAACAACCCTCACCAGTAAAGCTCTAAATAGCACCTTGGTCTATGTCTCTTGCTCATTCCTGAACACTACAATGATTTTAAATGGTTAAAGAAACTTGCCATTGTCACTAAAGCTTTATTCTACCTGGCCAATACTGGGCAGTACCAAATTAAATCTGTTGCAGGTAGGTCAACTACTGCCATCAAGGCCGATGTCATGGAGCACTATAATTCTGCCCTGTGTTAGCCAGACATGCACAGACACAGATTCAAAAGTATATGAAGGCCGCAGATTAGACATGTTGCTTTATTTTTGCCCCCACCATCAAACTGATATTGTGACTGTGAAAGGCCTAGCTCCAGGGTGCTGCAACACTTGGCTGATCAACAGGAAGATTCAGTAAATGCTGCTGAGGGTTGCTCTGTCTTCATTATGGTAGAATATTAGTTCCAACATTTAAAAAAAAGTTTACATAAAGAACAAGTGTTTGTTTTTCCCAAAACTACATGTTCTTCAGCAACCCTTGTGTCACAATAAAATCTAAGACTGAGGATAAAACCTAACTAGACACAACAAGGGCAACTGACCAATACCTTGTCCTACTAGTAGCAATCATAGACCAATCCAGTTATATGGATAGTATTATTCCCTCTGAAAATGTTTTCCTAAGCTCCTGCTCTCCTTGAGAGGTGGAAAATAATTAGTTTAATTTCACTGCCAGCAACAACGGTGGACAGCTTGGATAAGGGCTACCAGTCTGGCCTCAAGAGCATGGACTAAGTAATCTGAGCACTTACAACACTCCAAAGATGAGCCCTGCAGCCTACCTGGAGTCATTTAACACTAATACAGGCAATGAGCAGAACAGCTTATTTCATGCAACACCATCTACACATTTCTGACTTCAGCATAATTTTTAGTGACTAATGCCTAAAATCGGTGTATGACGGTGCATTTCACAGGAAATGCAGGTGTCAGCCAAAAGAGAATGACAAGTGGGAGAATAAGGAACCTCCCCTTCTCTCCGAAAATAAGAAACGAAGCATCGCCGGCGCTTTCCCACTGGGGTGAACGCCGGGGAGCAGCGCAGAGCCGGGCCGGGCCGCGCCCCCGCGCAGGACCAGCCCCTCTCCCGGGGGAACCGGCCTGGGAACGGCGGGAGAACAGGAGAACGTGCACTCGAGCCGGGCCAGCGGTCGGGTCGCGCCGATCCCCTCCCACCCCAAGCCCAGGAGCTCCCGCTCCTCCTGCCGCCCCCGCCGGAGGCTCCGCGCACGCATGGCTCCGGCCGCCCTCGCCCCACCCCCGGTGCCCCGCCGCCACCTGGGGCCGACGGGGGGCCGAGCGTGGTACCTGGCCAAGAGCTCCAGGTCCTCCAGTGCCGCCAGGAGCCGGTCCCGGGTGCTGCTCCGCTCCCCGCCGCCCCCGCCGGCCGCCGCCGCCGCCGCCGCCGCCGCCATCGCGCTCTGGGCGCGGACCCGAGCGGGACCCGCCCCCCGCGGGCTCGCGGCAGCGCCCCCGCCGGCCGAGGGACCAACTGCAGCCGCACGGGGCGGCGCATGCGCAGGGAGGCCGTGGGGGGAGATGGTTCCCCCCTGTGCCGGTGGCGCCCGTGAGGCGCGGCGGGACGGGACGGGTGGGAAGGGCCTGCGAGGGTGAGCGGGTCTTGCAGAGAGCCGTGGGCGTGAGGAGGGAGGAGGTAGCATCGGCTTTGATGAGGCCGGATGAGCGTCTGTGAGCGCCCTCTCCTGCAGCCGGGTCGTTGCACGAGGATCTGCGCTAGTTGCTCTTGGAATCACAGGATCAGTTAGGTTGGAAAAGACATCTGAGATCGAGTCCAACCGATGACCGAACGCTGTCATGTCAACTAGACCGTGGCACTGAGTGCCATGTCCAGTCTTCCCTTAAACACCTACAGGGATGGTGACTCCACCACCTCCCTGGGCCGCCCATTCCAATTGTCTAATTGCCCCTTCTGTGAAGAAATTCTTCCTAATGTCCAATCTAAACTTCCCCTGGCACAGCTTAGGACATTGTTCTGTCATTCTATTGCTAGCTGCCTGGGAGAAGAGGCCAACCCCTACGTGGCTACAACCATCCAACTGGAGTGTATTTCCAGTCTCTGGGTTTCCACTACGAGCCTCCAAATGAGACTCAGATATATGCTAAAGACACAGAAAATAGGCTGCAAGGAAAGGGCATGCAACTGAATTACATCTTGGATTTTTCAACTCAACTTCTGAGTGTCTTGGTGTCAAAATATCCCTTAGGAGCCTTCGATCAGATGGAGGATGAAATCACAGAATCACAGAATGGGCCAGGTTAGAAGGGATCACAGGTCATCTGGTCCAACGTCCCTGCTGAAACAGGGTTGTCCTAGAGCATACAGATTCTTGAATATCTCCAGTGAGGGAGACTCCACAATCTCTCTGGACAATCTGTTCCAGTGCATGGTCACCCACACAGTAAAGAAGTTCTTCCTCATGTTCAGGTGGAAATTCCTGTGCATCAGTTTCTGCCCATTGCCTCTTGTCCTATTGCATGGTACCACTGAGAAGGGCCTGTGTCTGCCCTCTTGGCACCCCCACTTTACATATTTATACATGGTGCTTTACTGATGGCCAAAGAAGGTTAAGTGCTTGATACTGAAAATGTAATAAAACTCCAAGCTTTAAATGAGACCAAGCCAAGGGCTTTACCTGGGCTGGCTGTCCCATGAGTGACTGAAGCCAGCAGGGACCCATCTGACGCTGCCCATGCAGACCTGTATGGCTGAGGAGGCTAAAGGCAGCTTGTCATCCATCACAGACCTCCACACACGATGGTGAGGCAAGTAACAGGTGCAAATCCTGCCCCCAACCCTGCCAGCAGTTGAGTTAAAAAATATTGTTTTATTGTGGGGGATTTTAATGGTGCTGTATATGGGCTGGTGCTGTAAATAGGCCTCTTGTTCTGGGTGGGGTCACATTGAAGCCCGTGGAATTTTATATATTCATGGAAGTTTCAGTAATGTGAAAAGACACTGAGAAACCAGGATGGAGGGCAGATGAGGAAGTATGGAGAGAAAGCTAATCTGGGGCCAAGGTTTATTAACTGAGGCAAGCACTGCCACAGAATAACTGGGACCCCCAGACCCCATGTCCTTCTCTGTCAGTAGGCAGCTGCAAGGCCTGCCAGTAAATAGCAATTCTCCCCTGATTAGAGAAAGCACTAGAACAATAACATCCCTGACTGTTCCGGTATTTACTCTGATTATCTTTTACCTTTCACAGCAAGTATATTCCTGAGAAATTTACACTTATTAAAAAAAAAAAGGCAAGAAACTCATTAGTCAGTGTTTCTTTGAATTGTGGTTTAAATAAGCGACTCAACATTATGAGATCTGTGATAAAGCAATAAGATTTGGCAACTCTGACAAGAAGAAAACTCTGCCAACAGGAGTTATTTAAAGTTCATTTACAATACACAACAACTCCCAACATTCTGACTGTAAATAGTTTGGGAATTCTCTTTAAACAGCACAGCAGATAAAATCTCATCAAATAGTTCTGCCTTTTGAGTAACTTTTGCTTCCTTGGTTTTTTCTCTCCTATATTTCCTCACTTTTGTTCAGGGAAAGACGTAATCAGTGTGATGCTGTCCGGTTGTGCACCCAGTTCACTGATTGGTTAGTGCCTGTATGGGTGCATAAACAGAAAGAAATACCAACTTTGAAAACAAAGCAATCCTTCCGCTAAATCACTTTCTTCCTCATACTCATTTTGACATCTGAATTATTTAGATCTGAAGTACTTCTGATATATTTCAGGGCAATAATGCTAGTTTCACTAGAGCTAAAAGCTTGCAGCATTAATAGGACCTCCAAAGTTGACAGGTGTGGATATTGGTTATAGGAGGTTCCTGTAGGCTTATCTTTCCTTCTTCTTGTGCCCAGGAACTTGTTCCCTCCCTTCCTCTTGACAGCAGTACTATGCCCACCCAATCAGGTCAATACCACCAATCTTTCACTGGAGCAGCCACCCTTCTCTCTCAACTTCTCCATTTTCCGCCCCTTTTCCAGGCAACATGTTCATCTGTCTGCTTTCTACTGCCCAGTCCTTCCCTTCTAATTGTCTTGGGGATGTGGCTATGGCTGGGAAGTGCAGGGGTATAGGCAGAGACTTAATTGTGCTTGTGCCCCTGTGTGGGAGGACAGGGTGAGACCAGAGGCATCAGGGAATGCCTGCCCATGCCAAGACACAGAAAGTCATTCAGACTATGTCAGAGGGGTCATCTGCTTCAGGGCAAAGGGAAAGGCTGAGTGAAATGGGCTCATGCCCCAAACTTGCCTGATGGGCTGATTGCTTTAAGACTGAGTAGATCATTTGCTGAATAGACTTCTGGAACACTCGCCCATAGAAAACAACACAGCCTCTGTTTCTCCAGTGTTGGTTCCTCTGTTTCCTCAGTTCTTTAGTGCTTTTGGCCTTCTTTCCCCTGAGTAAACTTTTTTTCATAGTTGTGTTGGTTTTGAGCCAAATCTGCTTCTTTAAAGATCATGCCCCTCCTGAATAACTAAGCATTGTTCCTAATTTTTTTCAGTAGTCTGAGAACGTTTTAGATTATGTGGTCATAAATGTATCTTTCCATCCACAGTGAGATTATTAGACATTTCAGAGCTCTTTCATGTCACATTGTCTTTTCAGTGGTATACTAAATGTATTGTTAAGAACATGCTAGCACAAGCAAAAATAGCTTATTTTATCCTGTTCAGTTGAGTCTCTTCCAGAATGGGCCTTGAAGTGATGATCTCCTCTAGACAGATCCACGAGCAGCTGAGCTGATCTAATAGTTCACCAATGCTGAGAAGCTGAGATGTTGCTGACTCCTCATCTCCCAACCGCAGATTTTCACTCTCTCTTATCTCCTTGGTGTTTGCCATATGCTTCCATAAGCCACGTCAACTCAATAACAAGACTGAGGAATATTTAATTTGGGAGAGGGTGTTCATTTCCTTCTGGGTTAGTGAGTGAACTCAAACCTCATCATATAGAACCATGCCTTCAGGGTGCAGTTTTAGTTACAACTAATTTAGTATGACTGTGGGCTAGTGCTGAAAAGTACGGTCTTCCCCATCTCTCTTCAGCCATGCTCCCCCCTTTTATGAGGTCCAATGACTGTGAGACTGCAGAATGAATCAAGTGAGCAAATGTGTTCAATGGAAATCCATCATTTTTCTGGTGGATTTGTTTTCCGTCAGATGAGCATGTTGAAGTTGTTGAGTTCAGGACTGGCCATTGCTAGGTCACTAGACATAAGGGAGTTTGTGGCCAGGAGAGCAATGAGCTATGCTACTCTTACTAAAAATGAAGTGCAATTCAGACCTAGGTTTCCTCTGGTGCAAAGCCTTTTCTTCCAACATACTATTGTGATTTCTTAACTCCTGGTGTTCCTACCTTACTTTTCATGAACTAGAGGATCACTTTGGAACTTGGAAGTTGAGCTGTAGAGAGTCATCTAAGAAGCCCAAAGCAGATATGTGTTTCAGTTAGTCTGTATCTTTTCCATGCTATGGTGCTTTTCAGCTATCTTCTTATTTATACATTCCAGACACCAGACATCAAGTGTTCAGTTGGCAAGTGTTGGGTATAACATACCTTAAAATAATAAGGAAAAATACTGACTACAGAAGATACATACGTCCCGAAAGCTCTCAGGACCATGTGTAATAAAATAGTGCAATCACTACAAATAAAAAGGCAGGAGAATAAGCAAAGAGAGCAAGAAGGAAAAGGACATAACAAATTCTCATTTCCACTTCCCCTAAAAAATGTAAAAATAAAATCCTTTCTGCCAAATATCAACTAAAATAGAAATCAAACATCTTGAGCACTGCTTGGAAGGATTCCACAGCTGTACTTTGGTCTGTGGAGATGAGAATAATCATCCCTTATTTGTCAAGCTGTCTTTACACAATTAATAGTTTGAAATGCCTCTGATAAATCATCCATTTCTTATGGCTATTTAAAAAGAAATTTTTATTTCCTTGCTCACTTATGTTAGTGATTTTAGAATGAGATGAGAAAGGAAAATAAAAAAATAAAAAAGTGGCTCTGCTTAGCCAGTGTAATTCTAGAACACATTAAAGATGAGGTAAAAATATATAATACTGTGAGCCAAAGCTTATTTTTTTGGGGGGGAAGGAGTGTGAAACACTAGTACATATGGCCAAAACTAGCGTGTGGTGCACCATTCCAGACTGTTCCAGAACAGAATTAACTCTGCTTTGAGCTATATTAAAACTGAGTTACACTGATTTCTGCTGGTGTAAATTTGGGCACAGAGCCCTCAAGACAGGAAGTCACCCAGGCAGAAAGCAGTCCAGGCCTTCAGTCTGCTGGAGGGCTTGTGGGGACCAGTACTGCCTATGAAGCAGGAGGCGTTCAGTGGGAAAGAGAATCAAAACTGGCCCTGCATAGTGAGGGGAGG